AGTAAGGACTTTTTCAGGATAAACACCTTCTTTTATAATAACATAACTGAAACTACGTTTCGTTTGATTATTTACACGCTCTTTGTATGTAATATTATTAACTAATGGGTATGTGGAGTTTTCTTCAATTTGAAGATTGGGATTAGTGTTTTCTTGGTTAAAATTTTCTGTTGTCATATTTATTATTATGTGCTTATTTATTATTGGTTATCATAGCAATAGTAAAATTTTTGTGTTACATATTCCCTGTAATTTGTCCATTCCGCAAATCGGCCCATATGAGTTGTAAATATTTCTTGTATATATTCTTTTTTATTTTATTTTATTTATCATTTTTAGGCCAGCAGTACTTCTATTAGTACTGTAGAGAGAAACTGCACAATAGATAGGCTCTGAGTTGGGAACCAGAGGTCGGAATTGAGAACCCTGAGCTGTGAGCCGTAATCAGGGAGATTTATATATTGGACTTTTTATTTATTTTATCTTATATATTTATTGGACACATCCCAAGCTGTAATTGAATTTACACGCTCGCAGTATGTAATATACAAAATAAAAACACAATGAATTATCAAAATAACATTCCTTCTAATGAACAATTGGGCTCTCCTACTATTCCTAGTGAAACCTATTCTGGTCATTATCATGTTCATCAAAACTCAAACATTCCAATAAATGTTGTAAACAGTAACCTTAACAGGATCCAGATGGTGATAAATGTGTCAAAAGATTGTTTTTTATGGCTGCTGTTGAGATTTTAATGATAGCGATAATCATAGCAGCAGTAGCTACAGAGAAAAAGCAATAATGATAATAGTAATTATAGTTAATTTAGTGGCTGATTTCTTATTAGCTATAATTATAAAAAAAGTAAATCTATTAAATTAATTTTGACTTAATAATAATCCATTTTCTTAATCTAATAAATAGTGATTCTAGCTGGTTAAGCCAAACAACTCTTAGGCAGCTAAAAACTTAAATAAATCCCAGTTGATGAAAAAACTTTTCAAATGGTACTGAACTTGCCGGTATTATTATTGTTATTATAATACCCTGCCTTTAATGGTTTGAATAAGGTTATTTGAATTATTTGTGTGCCTGAATTATATCCAAATAAATAAGTAAAACAAATAATTCAAATAAAACAAATAATTCAAATAGAACGAATAATTCTAATAAAACAAATAATTCAAATAGAATGAATAACTTGAATAGGACAAATAATTCAAATAAGATGATTGTATCCTGATATGATGTATTGTGTTTTATTTTTGAGCAAATGTATGTTATTTTTGTCATTCTAAGTAATGCAAATGGACCCGTCTCAACTAAACGTTTATGCCACTGAATTCTGCACTAAAATCCCAGACATAAAAATGAATGTTAAGAGGAATTTTTTTTTAGCCTTAAAAGTTCCTTAGTCAGCTAACATCACTATAGTTGGTAATTCTTCTACAAAATTTTTAACTTTGAATAATTTTTATTACTAGCATTAAATGATTATGATGTTTTGATGTTTCCTTCGCCTTAGAATTTAATATTTTCCGAGTTACTGGCCAGTAATTAAAGTTTGTGTACAAAGAATTTACTTCAAACCACTAAGGATATTTTTTTATTTAAAAAAACTCTATTTCATTGTTGCTTAGGTTAAAGATTGCAAAAATAGAGTCATTTCCATTTTATCAATAAAAAAAATCCTTAGTTGCACAAATTTTTTTTTTTTGATGTCTTTATGTTAAACCTTTTTATTGTAGTGAACTTTTATTATTATCATAAATCGATATACATAGGTAAACTTGATAAGTCGGACACAAATGGCTGGACATGGTGTCTGACTTATCAAGAGATCTGACTTATCAAAATATGCAATTTTACAAAAAAAAAAAAAAAAATAAGAAAATCGTTGTTTAAATTAGTATTTATTTATTTATAATAATAATTGAAAAAATAAATTAATAAAACAGATAGAAGATAAAACAAAAAAATCTCTACTCTTTATTTAAATAAATATTCATATTGGTTTGTACTTAAGAATTATTTTGTTTTCTTTTAATCATTTAATGATGAGACAACAAAATGAGAATTCATTTAATGATAAGATAATTGATAAATATAACAATAAAATACATCATTTGCAAAGACAAATTTTTTAAAATGATTATAATTGATAATAATATTATTCACGAAACAGATTTATTACAAATCATGAATAATGAAATTATTATTACAAAAATTTATTGGATAATACATTACTAAAAATAGTAAAGATTGTCTCTCAAGATTTATGAAAATCACGTGAACCGACTTATCATTTATTATTATTATTATCTGGTTGGAGAAGTTGTCCGACTTACAGCTTAACAAGAGTTTATATATGTGTCCAACTTATCAAGAATTTTTTAAATATAAAAAAAAAGGGCTGGAAATTTTTGTCTGAGTTAGGCCAAATCCAACTTATTGAGTGTCGACTTATCAAGTTTACCTATGTATGTTGTAAAAAATATCTTATGAAAAAATTTTTTACATAAAATTTCTTAAGTGTGTAACAAAAATTTGTAATTTTCAAATGCTAAAGCTCTGCCAATTTTTAGTTTAAGAAAAAACTAGCCAATATGTTTTGAAGCTTGAATCATAAATAATAAAACTTATTGGTTAACTTTTTTAAAATTATAATTATAATTGTCCATGGAAATCCTATCTCAAAAAAAAATCATTTTTTTTAAACAATGTAACAAGATCTTTCATATTATGACTACAATTAATCACTTCTTAAACAGTGTAATGAATTGAATTAATTGGAAAGATTAAATACAAACAACAATAATGCTGTAGGATAACATGATATCAATGGTGACAAAATCTCTGTGACTATTAAATAGTCATCAACTGTGCTTATTAGATATATATAACCATCTTTTTTTACCTTGATGGTTTTTCAATTTCAATAAAAAAAAATAAAAATAAAAATAATAAAATCTGATAATAATAAATTTATAATAATGACATGTAATATCTTTTGAAACTTATTTTTTAAGACCTTTTTTTTTAATATCTTTTGAAACTTATTTTTAAAAGTTTTTTTAATAATATATCACACAGATAAATCGTTTTTAATTGAAATAATGGCTTCTATTTTATCATCAATTGTATTTGTTAAGACTGTGAGTGCTGAGAAGGTTTGCACAAGTACTGCATATGATAGAGTGGATAACAAATAATTTGTAAAGTCAAACTTTAAAGCATTTTGGCAGAATTCGAAGATATGATTCAGGAAATTAAATCGGTCATGATGATGGTTAGAAGGTTCCTTAACATTGGATCTGAATCATTCGTAAGAATTTTTTTAATTGTTCATTTTACCAGCATGTGAATGTGCATATACAATAGATTAATTAAATACTTTTATTAAATATGTGTCAAATGATATGTTTCTTTGTGTGATTCAGGTGATAAGCTAGACTTAGGAACCCTGAAAGAGAAATTCGACATGCACAATTTGCCAGCCAGTAGCATCTATTTGGAACTTTTTCTTTCTCTTGCAAAGAGGAAGCTAAGAAAAAGGAATATCAGGATCAGCAAAAATTAGAGATGTGCCATTCATAGTAACTGTGATTTTTTTTTGCACATAGTGCATATAGTGCGCATAGTAGCATAGTGCACATATAATAATAAGAAAGTAAATGGCATATTTATTTTTTTTTTTTAGAAATGTTTATTAATAAGTAAATGTCTATAAAAAATATATCTAAAACCTTATGCATAATACACTATGTGTAAGACACTATGCATGGCACATCTCTAGCAAAGATACTTCATCATGGAGAGAAACATCTAACAAATTGATGATCCTGTGCATGTATATGGTCTCAAATGGAATTGCAGGTATTCAGCTGTAGCAGGACCCCGGAGACTACATAGATAGGTTATCCCAAAATTTACCCAAAATCTAATTGGTTAATCAAGAAAATCGGCACTAATATGGTTAAATTACAGCCATTTTTGGTAATGATATTCGCGCGCTCAATATTAAGTTTACCCAAATTTAGGGTAACCTATCTATGTAGTTTCTGGGGTCCTGTTGTAGCTGTAGCAACAAAGTTGTCTGCAATATTCTCAATAGCTCTTCGTGGGAAAGAATCATCTATAGCAAGATTGAGTGGTCTTATCCAGTTTGGAACAAAACAAGGCCTCAATAATCAAGGCCAAGAGAAAGAATGATAATTTGTTAAGATTCGAACAGTTATTAATAAGCAAAAAAATCAATATTGTCAACATCATTGTTGTTATTCTCAGCACTGTCAAACTCAAAATTGTCATCAAACCTATCATCATGCAGCTCGTCAAATAAAAGACCACGAGCATCATGCAATAAGGAAGAAACAGCAAACAAAAAAACATGTCTTGAATGTATCAAAATCAGAAACATTAATCAATGCAATGGGCTGAGTGAGAAACAAGGGCAAAGCACCAATGCAGATGAAGAAGATCTTTCAGTTGAAAACTAGGGGAGGATGTTGAGGTTCAGAATATACAGTAAATCACAATGGTGATGAAGAAACTGCTTGAATCAGTTTATTTATTTATTTTTTAAATAATGTAATTTGTTTTTTGAATGAATGATTCAATGGTGATTATTGAAAGAATGGTAAATTGTTGGGCTGGGCTGTATGTGACATATTAACACAGCTAACCTCCTCCTTTGTTTTCCAAATAAGTCTTTGAATAAAAAAAAATATTGTATTAAAAGATGTATTTGAGATTAATTGACTACCATTACCTACAAACAAAAATTAAATTTAAATTATTACAAAGTACTTGATTCTTAATATGATATTCATAACTATATTTAAATTTTTGTCTGATAATCATGAACCATCAGGTTTTGTATCATCAAATTCTGAGTTCTGTCCTCTGCAATCTGTTTAGGATCTCACGCTTTCAACATGTAGAAATGAATATTTGATTTTGACTGTTTAAAGATGGATGAAAGTGTCCATTCTAGATACAGGAGATTGAGCTGCCTGGGTCAAAGGGTTTAAGTGAAATTAGCTAAGCATTGGTTAGTTTCTCATTGAGATCAATAAAAAAATCTTTTTGGATTGATTGACTTGATTTATTTTATAATAATAGTTTGAATTTATACTTTGTTCTCCTTGAGTAGTTCATAAAATTTATCC